AGGCCATGATCAATAGTTTCCTTAATTTTGACGTTTATGGCATGAACATTATTATACATATAGTAAATTTTCTTGTTTAGTTTCATTGCTCACTATTATTATTATTGCGATTTCAAACTAAGATTTTGAGAAATTGCAGGTTATTCTGCGTCCTGTCTCTAGATGCTTCTCATCAGTTGTTATTCAATTCGTGGATCATCAACGGGACTCTACAGGTCCCGAAAGAAGTAAAACACATCATTGAAAGTCTAGTTCAACTTCATAATATGATTCGAAACGCATTTTGAAATTTTTCAAGACGTTGTCCATCGTTCACGCCATCTATCATCGTGTATAAGAACCCCACATTCCGAACTCACATTCAATAGTTCATATCGAGAGCTAGTCTGACGAAACAATTGAAGAGTGGGCACACCAGATCGAGATCATACTGTTTACCAAATCAGCTATGTTTTCATGTATAGAGTTCTCTTTCAGGTAGATTGCTCCATGTGGTGATGGACGGAGTATTGTCTGATACCATAGCCATTTTGGCACCAACACTGTTCCCACTTCACATCAATGATTTGTTGGGAGTAACCACCTGCTCTATCAATATCTTTACAGAACTCAGTACTCTCCATACTTCGTTCTCTTCCATCAGCATTCTCATTACGTCCTATAGTATACTAAGAACTCACGACAAAGGCAGTGCAACGCTGTCAATGAACATCTTGCTGAATAACAGCCTGCGGAACCAATAACCTAGTTGAATTGAACGCCACCAAAATTCAAGCCTGTATTTTCTTCAGAAAATCGTATATTAGTATGCCTGATATAACAATGTGTGGTACTCGGTGTGGTACCACCATTTCCACAAAGTCCAGCTCGGTATTTTCATCACCACTATTCTTTCATGGCATTTCATCGCGAGATCTGCTTCAAAAATACTTGGATTTTCATTCAGAGCGAGAAGCTACTTTACATCTCAACAGCTCCTCATGATCTACAGAGCACAGAAACGGTTCATTTTAGAATACTGTTTCCAGATATTTATGGGGTTCAGTTACCTAACATACGCTGATGCTCTAAGATTCCATCCAGAGAAGAGCCATCCGCCAGGTGGGTGATGCCCCACTCACTAATTCTTCGACATAATTGGAACACCGTAGGGAAGTCGGCGACCTTTCATTTTTCTATAGATACATATCTACTATCATGCCATCATTAGCAATACCAGTCTGACATAATATTCGACAAGCCCAGTAAGCAGATATTGGTTCAGGATTGGACAGGTTGGTCTCGAGGTTTGTCCAAAAACATCGGTCCAGCAGTGTACATACGGAATGGACAACGAATGGACTGATCAATAATCTAAATGGATGTGAGAAAAATAGCGAAAAATATGAATTTTAAGTTTCTTCAACAAAAAAGTTCTTCCCCGAGTTCTCCTATGCTATGCCTACCTTATTGATGTTTTTGCTAATATTTTTTCCTATAGCGCAACTCTGTATTTTTGCGAAAATACTGCGAAATGTTAGACGTTTCTATACGTAGATCCAGTTCTCCTATATAAATTACAGATGTGTCCCAGTTCCCAGTATCTTGTTACTTTCATAATATATAGAACTTTACCAACTTTCGCAAAGTTCGTAAGTTTCCAGAGTAGCAGCAAATGGACTGTTGAGCATGTGCCTTTCGAAGTATGATTCTGGTTAGGTTCATCTGCTATCAGATCAGTTTCAACTGTATCGAAAATAGTAAATAATAATAGATAGAGAGAACATTTATATATATATATATATATTTTTTATATTCTGGTTCCCACGAAAAGGGATATCCTGTAATGTTCAGAGAACATCGTGAGAACCAAGGGAAATAAGGTAGGAATTGGTGTTCTTCTTGAATTTCTGGAGGTTATATGCCTCGGGGAACACATCCTTTGGCAATGTGTTCCAGAGCCTCGCTGTTCGTGGGATGAACGAGTCTTTGGAAAGAGATGTTCTGCAGGTCTCCAAAGTGGCCACGAAGGGGTGTGAAGCCTCAAATCGATGGGTTAATCTCGCGGGGACTGACAAGAGAGGAACAATTATTGTTGATATTTCAGAAGAGCATCGTCCATGAAAATATCTATAAAATAGTGCCAGATCGCCAACTTTTCGACGGTGTTCCAGAAAAGTGAGTGAGTTTGTGAGCGAGGCATCACCCACGAGACGAATTGCCCTTTTTTGGACAGAATCCAACAGTTTCAGGGTATTTTTCGATGCTGCACTCCAAATATGGAAACAGTATTCCAGGACAGGTCGGATCTGTGCCTTATAGATCATAAGCAGCTGACTGGAAGTGAAATAGCTCCTGGCCCGAAACAAAAAAAAAACAAGTTTTTGGGATGCACTTTTAGCAATTAATCTCACGTGATTTTCCCAAGAAAGGTGATGATTGCTGATAGTAATACCAAGCATCGAAATGGATGTCTTCAAAGGTATGGTTACTCCTGACAAGCTTATGCTGGGCACAGTAAGATCGGCTTTTCTAGAGAAAAGGCATGCTTGTGTTTTGTTTGCATTGAAGTCTACCAAGTTATTGGATCCCCATTCGAGAATTGTTGCCAAGTCCATATTTATGTTGTAAACATTTCTCCCTCGTTCGCTCCTGATTTGCCTGGCTGGTATGGGATCCTTGGAAGAAAAGGCGGTATAGAGGGTATATACTATCATCCGCGAAGCTGTGTAGTGGACATGAAGTTGCTTCCAACAAATCGTTGATATGGAGTAGAAATAGTGTTGGTGCTAGAATTGATCCTTGGGGGATACCAGCATTCATGATAAGAGAGTATAATAATATATAATAATAATACAGTGCTTTCGTGAAGTTGCTATAAATTCGTTCAAACTCATGAAACATTGATATTTCTTCACTATTAAGAATTTGACTCCTTAACATACCGGGTGTCAATTTTTTTATTTTTCGTCAGAAGTATTGTTGGTTTTTTGTGGTTTCTCTAAGCTCCATGATTTGAAATGGAATGGAGTTTTTTCCAGATTTCCTACCATTATAAATTAAGTACGAAATAAATAATCATAATATTCGTAGAGTCACCAACTATGAATAGCCCTGACTAAATAAATAAGTTAATCATCATTGGTTGAAGTATAACAATTGCGAGGCGGTTTACTGTAAGGTTGACTTTTCAATAATGAACGAACTAGGTATTTATCTCGGTATTTATTTACGGTTAATATCTGACGTGGTATAATAGGCTCGATTATTGGTACTTTCTTCAATATTTCCCCTTCTTCATCAGATGTCTTTATGTATGGGATAAAAACCTCATTTCCGTTCAATTTTTGAAATATATATAATGCAATTCGTAAAATAATTTTCATCTGAAATTGAATGGTGTAAGTACGTTATATAAGTTTCTTCCTATATATCAATAGTAATATATATATATAGGTGCAGTTGGAAATAATGTTAGATATTTTTCATAATCATTAATTTCTATGGAATTTTTTCTCGAAGGTGTAGATAGATGGTTTTGATTTGATCATGATCGAACAATTCTTGTTCTTTGAACATTACAGGGATTCCCTTTCGTGCACACCAAGAGATAAAAAAATGTTTCTCAAAAACGAAGGGATTCCAGGGTATTCCAGTTGTTTGTAGATCAGAATTATACCGCGCGCTTCACCATCACTCAAGGAACACCATGCATGGTATTCCAAGAAATTCCAGAAAATTCCATGGAACCCCCAAGGAATTCCAGGAAATTCCAAGAAATAACTGAGAATACCAGGGAATTTAAGTTGTTTGTCGTCCAGAATTATACCGCACTTCATCCACGGAATTCCAGGGATTTCCAGGAAATTTCAAGAAACAGAAATTTACAGGGAAGTCTAGTTGTTTGTACACCAGAATTTCACCACGGTTTACCCCTCGGTTAGGACATACTTATACAATATACAAGGTGCCCGGAAAGGTCATATCTTGAATGATAGGTCGGATAGAGTGTGAACCAAAATAATGTCAGTAATACCTACTAGTTGGTTTACATAAAGAAGTATGATGCGCTTCGTTCCGGAGTTATTGAACTTGAAAGTTAGAATACGAAAAGTTGACTTCGTTCAGGTAGACTTTTAAACGGTTGCCATATCAAGTTGAAGGTGCACATATTGAACACCTTTTTTCCTGATTTTATCCTTTTTCAGAGCGGGTTTATACAGCAAATAAATTAAAATAAGAAATAGGATAAAATAATTTAATGAATAAGAAATAATGTGAGTAGTTTATACAGAGGAATAAAATAAAATAGTTCAAGAATCAACCAACGACTGTCGTGGACGACAACATTAAAATCATTCCAATCATCATTAATGTATGTATCTATCATTTTTTCTACAAAAAAGGCCGCAAAAGGTTAAAAACACTATGGATTTGAAAAAATTTTGAGGTCAAAGACTATTAATAACATTTGTATTATTCTATAACTTTTATATTATTCCTTATTTCTTATATTCAACCTTAGTTCTTCTATAGACGTCTTTATGGCAACACCTATGTTCAATTAGGATATTAAATTGTTTTATTTTAATTCTCATTTTATTTTAGTTGCTGTATAAACCCGCTCTTACTGATGTTATTGAATGAAAGTACTTTTTATCCTAAGAGATTTTTATTGCGTTTCAAATGGTTAGCATGTTTTTAAAATTCGGTTTTTTCGGTAACGGAAGAAGATATCGATTAAAATGAAGTAATTTTAGGTACCTTTTTTTATATAGGAAATATAAAGAAACCAACCGGAAAAATCAAAATATCAAATTACCCTTTATATATATACCATACGATATAATTATCTCTTACTCTTATCAATATTTTTATAAGGCAAGTTGGCTCAAATCGTAATAACTAGATAGCTAGATATTTGTAGTAAAAAATCTACGGTACTTTTATGTACTTCTATGTACAACTTGTACAAGGATAGCTATAGGTAGTAGAGAAATAAAAATTTAAAAAAAACTCACGTGTGATGAAAACAGCTGAAAATAACGCATAGCTGCGTTTGATATCGTTGACGACCGTATACATGGTGTTATTTTGCGAAAAATGAAAATTAAACTATTTCGTCAACACAGTTGAATGGAATGCGGGAAAACGGGAAACACGACGGTCACGTGGCAAGCGGTTCGAGCGGCAGTCTTCTATAGTCCTCTATTTTCCGCCAACGACTATTCCAAATATTTTCGAGTTGATCGGCGTGTAGCGAGATCGCGAACGACTGTCACAGTGTTGCCAAGCGTCGCGAGATTCGCAACTGAAGTCGCATGATGGAATAGAGTTCAACTATAACTTCGAGAGAAATAAATAATAATTTTTCTGCTAACGTGCGGAAAAGTCCACTTTTCCGCACTTGTTAGGTAATAGTTGTTCACCACACAAGTGCAGAAAGTGGTACTTTTCCACGCGGAGCGGAGTTTGGGCATGTCGTCAATGGCGGAATAGTAATTTTCCTAACAAGTCCGGAAAATGACACTTTCCGCATCAGTAAGGAACAAAGTTTTTTCTACAAGCGTAGGAAATTGATTGATTTGTTCAATCAATTATCCTTCAAATAGGAACAACTAACAATAGTGAAAGATACCAACCCTAATTTTTTTTATGTTTTGGTTCCCACGAAAAGGGATATCCTGTAATGTTCAGAGAACATCGTGAGAACCAAGGGAAATAAGGTGGGAATTGGTGTTCTTCTCAAATTTCTGAAGGTTATATGCCTCGGGGAACACCTCTCTTGGCAATTTGTTCCAGAGCCTCGCTGTTCGTTGGATGAACGAGTATTTGGAAAGAGATGTTCTGCAGGTCTCCAAAGTGACCACGAAGGGGTGCGAAGCCTCAACTCGACGGATTAATCTCGCGGGGACTGCCAAGGGAGGAGCAAGTGTTGATATTCCAGAAGAGCATTGTCCATGAAAATATCTATAAAATAGAGCCACACCGCCAGTTTTCACGGTGTTCCAGAACAGTGAGTGAGTTTGTGAGCGAGGCATCACCCACGAGACGAATTGTCCTTTTTTGGACAGAATATACAACAGTTTTAGTGTATGTTTGGGTGCGGCACTCCAATGAGAACAGTATTCCAGGACAGGTCGGATCTATAGATAATAATAGCCCGGAAGCCAGCGACCTTTTTCAATGACCAAAAGCACAAAAGCTGAAAATGTTTTCTGAGCTTCATTTAGTATCACTAGTAAGGAAATCGGCCTCCAGCTGGCGCACTTCCGGGGGGTGTAGTTGCAGCAGCGTCCCAAACACGTAAAATCATAATAAAAAAAAACTGATATCACAAAAGCTGAAACTTTGTTAACATGTTGATTATCATACAAATAGATCAAAAAACGTATCCAGCCGAACTTATACTGGGGGATTATGCTCCAGCTTTTCACGTAAAGAAGTTAAAAATATGCGCTGAGTAAACTAATACCGCAAAAGCTGAAATTTGGTGAACAAATAGTTAAACCCTGCCAAAAATACCTTATGAAGTCTCATGAAGAAATATAGATAAAATATGAGTATTAATAAGGATATATAACCGAGTTCTGTAGCGTATGAGTACATTATCTCTGGCACATGAACTTTCTAAAAGGTTTAATGATATTTCATGAGTATATGTGATTTATAAGCGTATACAAATATGGAGTATGAGAGTTTTTATCAGGCACAAGTGGTTTGAGGAGCCTATGACCACCAATAAGATATTCCACTTCCAATTGGAATAGTATTCTATGCCCATTCATGCGCCTTAGTATATATGAGAAATGTGTAGGAATTCACAAATAGAATTCTATTGGGTATCGTCAGGAAAAAAATATATCAGGATTTTAGAGTTTCACTAAGGAATTCCTTATCTAATTTAATGCGATTTCTATTAGCATTCATGTGACTCAGAATAACTGAGAATTTACGAGTTTCAATTAGACAATGAATGCCTAATCTGAAATGTGTCCAATGAGTGTTTATAAGACAACTAGTTTCTAGGTTTATGAGCTCAAATATGGAAACACGGTTCTAAAATTATAGGTTTCTTATCAGCTTGAATCCGGTCAATAATTATTGAGTAATCATAAGTTTTTAAAAGACAATATAGATATAATCTTTAACGTATTTCATGGGTTTTTGTGAGGGTGAAAAGTGTTCGATAAATTATGATATTCAAGTATGTTATGATGTTTCATGCGTTATTTCTGTCTAAGAATTCTGGACAATACATGCCTAATCTGAATGGTATCTGATAAGTTTGTATGAGATGTGTTAGTTCTGAAAAGACATTACTGATTTGAAACGGAATGTATCCTATGGGTCATGCTGAGGCTTGATGTGTATCAAAACTGATGGGTGTTGATAAGGGTATACCATTATGACTCTGAGAGGTTTTATGCGGGATTGCTGTATAAGGGTCCAAGATTTTAGATTAGACAATACATGTCTGATTCGAAATGTATCTGATCATTTTTTATGAGATATGTATCTCATGAGGAAATGTTTGTTTAAGGATTCATGAGAGTTGATAGGGATTCACCGTTATGACTGTATCCATACGTTCAAATGAATGATGCGTTATTGGGATTCACGAGTTTTGATAAGACAATACATGTCTAATCTGTATAGTAACTAATTAGTTTGTATGAGATGTGTATGTTCTGAAGATTTTTGTAGTTTGAAAAGACAATACTGATTTGAAATGAAACGAATCCTATGGGTCAAGCTGAGGCTGTATGTGTTCCAGAATTCATGAGTGTTGATAAGGATATACAGTTATGACTTCAATGGTATGTTGAGAGGTTTCATGCAGAATTTTTGTATAAGGATTCACAAGTTTAGATAGGACAATACATGCCTAATCTAAATGGTATCTAATGAGTTTGAATGAGATGTGTATGTTTTCGAGGTTTGTAAAGACAATGCTGAAGCTAAGGATATAATGTGTTATAGACTTCTTGAGGGTTGATGAGGATATATAGTTATGACTTCTAGTATATCGAGAGGCTTTTTCGCAGAGTTTTTTCATGATGATTCACGAGTTTGGATCAGACAGTTCATGTCCAATATGAAATGTTTCCTATAAGTTTGTGTGAGTTTTCAATAGTACAATATTTTCAAGTTCAATATATATATTATAAGATCTTATGAGGATTAATGACAATGATTGACAGTTGTTATATGATGATAATAATAATAAAACAAGAGGTTTTATGCGGAATCTGTTTACTAGTTTCAATCAGACAATGCATGCTCAATCCGAAATGTATCAAATGAGTTTGTATGAGAAAATCAGTTCAAAGATTTGTAATTTCTAATGAGAACACGCACGGTTCTAATATTATAAGGTTACCAGCAGTTTCTATGAGAAATATAATTTTTGATAGCTCATAACTTCTATTCTGCAAGACACCATTGCGTAGGTACAATTTTTGTGTTCATATAATATATCAGAGTCAGTGCTTGAACGCACGTCATTGTTGAAGGTGAACATTATACAGGGCTCGGCTATGGACTCCTGGGATGAAAACAAGTTGATTTAGGCCAACTTACCTATATCCAATATCGTCTCGTTAAATTGGTACAAGGCGTTGACGTTTTTTTGGAAAAAATAATTCTGCTCATAAGAAGAGTAGGCTGAGATTGATTTTCATAATTTTTGGCATGGCATGTTCTGTGACTGTGAGTCACGTTTCGAGATGTTTTTGATCATCATCAGTGACCTGCAAGTATTTCGAACAACTATGTTGCCCTATCAAATTTGGTGACAACTTTTCAGAGGTCGGACTGGAAACTTCCAGTTTCTTTTCCAGAAAGATATTCCCTTCAGAAATATTTTTTGTATCTTGTTATTTTTTCAGGATTATTTGCGAATGAATAATTCCTGATGTGGGGCATTTTATGCATTTTTAAGAAAAATAATCTGGTTGGGACATGGCTTGACTGTAGACTCCTGGGATAAAAATAGGTTGATTTTAGCCAACTTACCTATATCCAAAATCGTTTCGTTGAGTTGGTACAAGGCGTTAAAGTGCTCACCTTGGGTCCTGTATATAGTTATCGCTAAATTTGTGACGTGAAAGTTCTTGTAATGCCAACGAGGACCAGCAACTTATCAGTTTATTCACAATAATGAATCATATTGTAGCCATGATCAATAAACAGTCCAACTAATTAGATTAATCTTCAAAAATGCACAGGATGCATCATATCAGAAATTATTTATTCGCAAATGAACCTCGAGACATATCAAAGATAAACACGATACAAAAAATATTTCTGAAGAAAATATTTTTCTGGAAAAAAACTGGAAGTTTCCAGTCCGACCTCTGGAAAGTTATCACAAAATTTGTACGGCAACATGGTTGTTTGAAACACTTGCAGGTCACTGATGATGATCAAGAACATCTCAAAACGTGACTTACAGTTGGGGAACATGCCATGCCAAAAATTATGGAAATTGATCCCATCAGCCTTCTCTTTTTATGAGCAAAATTATTTTTTTACAAAAAAAATTCAACGCCTTGTACCAACTCAACGAGACGATTTTGGATATAGGTAAGTTGGCCTAAATCAACTTGTTTCTATCCTAGGAAGCCACAGCCGAGCCATGTCCGAACCTTTTACAGATACCCTGTATATTTTATTTGAAAATATAACTATATTGATAGTCACTTTCTCGGAAAAAACTCATTGATTTCCTTTTTTTTCTATATATTCAACACCCCCTGATTTCGTTACAAATAAGTTTCAGACCATCTTTTATCATCTTTTTTTTTTAATCACACGACCCTTTATATTGCCATATTTTCCGATTTATTGCAGAAACTTCAGCTCATCAAAACAGAATTGTTTTTATATTGGTACTGGTATTTCAACTTGAATACGCACACAATTCGAAGAGACGAAGAAGCCTGAGGGTTTTTGCCAAATGAATCCTCATTCGATCACATAAAAATCATTCAATATACTTTATATCCTCATACATTCTCATAATTCCTATCAGCATTGCATCAAGAAACTATTATATATTTTCATGCCTACTAGAAACTGATAGATCCACATAAAAACCCGAACAACAAAGCCAAATTCATAACATAGGTAACTCATAAATCCACATAGATTCACATTTGAAAATTCACTTGGAGAGTCATTAAGTCTCCACATAGAGGGGAACACAAAATTCAAGTTGGTAACAA